TAATAACGTACTAAACTAACTAACGTAACGTAACGTACGTACGTACGTACGTACGTTACTTACGTACGTCTACGTACGTAGTAGTAGTACGTACTACTACTCTCTCTCTCTCTCTCTCTCTCTCTCTCTCTCTCTCTCTCTCTCTCTCTCTCTCTCTATGTCGCTCAATCTCTTCATGTGGTTGCCTCTAGCACAATCAGCATAGCCTTCGGAGTCTCTGATATCAAAACCACACAAATCAAACTGGGGCCTCTTTCCACCCTCAACTCATGCAATGGGAGCCTACTCCACCAGTTGAGCACGCAAAGATAGAATACAAGCTTCACTGAAGCATTTTGTTAAGACCAAAGCAGCACCCACCAATAACAAACACAGGCGACATATACAGAGGACCAATGAAGTCACTAAAGAGAGGTGATATGTATCATAAGATTCCATTTAAAACACGTTGGTAATAGTCGTACTGCCGTGTCCGCCAGGCATCCAAACTGCTACTGATCAGAGAAAGCACCAATGACACGCATTGCTGCGTTGTACACAACCATGGGATACAAACATCAAAAAATAAAACAGTTAAACTTTGCTATGAAAAGTCGACACAAAGGATGAACATGCAAAGAAAGATGGAAAGATGATTATGAAAACCTCTTCAGTTAGGCTTAAATGAAACCGCTTCCTCAAGTTCTGGATTGTTCGTGGTCCGCCCCTAAAACAAGGGAATCCCGAGTCCTGAATTCCAAAATTAAAAGAATTGGAAATGTCATAAAGGTGATGCCCAGGTTAAATTATGTTTATTACCATTTATCTTATTCTCAAAAATTTTACAATGAAAAAAGCAACAGCCTGATGACAGTGCTATCGGTCAGACAGCATCCTGTGCTTAGCCTCAAAATGGGGCATCAATTCTCATTTAATTCCTTATAAGAAACAAATAAATAGCAAAGTTCATAGCTAGCAAGAAAATTAATGAAATACAACTAATGAAATACCACTAATGCAAATTCAGAAAAGATTAATAGAATTTGACGATGCTAAGCTCATCTCTATATCTTTGCAATTACATTCAAAGAGAAAAGAAACAAATTGTTGATGTGAGAACTTGCACAACCAATTGTCATATTAAAATGAATTTTCCCAAATTCTAGTGAAAGTTAAACATATCCATCCACTGCAGCTATGAATTTATATATTCCAAAATGTAAGTCTCTAGCACCCACTTTTTTATACTTGAAATAATGTTATATGGACGGGACATGCCATGAGAAGTATCTTTGAACATTGACATATGCACTTCATGAAGGAACGGCTATTTTTCATGAGGCAGATATCTGGATAATTATGACTTGAATCAATCAAACAGAATTTATGGTCTTGTAACAATCCTCCCATGCTCTAATGCAGGAGAAACAATTGAGGCTACACAATGAGGTATTCACTTTCAAACTGTTCATAATTCAATTTTCAACAAGATATAACATTGTTCACTAGTATAGATCATACAAAATCAAAGGCATGAAGATAGCAAGGGCATCACATCAAGTCAACCGAGGTATCAACAAGATATGGTTGAAATATAAGAACGAAACAACTACTGAATACAACAAAGGAGAAAATCAAGTGTAAGTTTCTATTACAAACAAGACTATAATTCTTTAGTAATACGTATAACATTACCTGCAGCATTTCAACTAGTAGTATGATACGCTCAGCATGTTTTCGACAAGTCAGAAATCCTTGTATACATAACACCTGTAGAAATGATTTGAATGCCAGTGCAGTTAAGCCCAATTTAGATGATTGTACTGGAGTTCAGCAATTATGTTTGATCCATAACAACTTTAAGAAAATAATAACTGACTAAATACCTTAAAATAGTCAAAGAACTCGCTAGGGATACCCTCTGCATCAGAGTCCATCACCTATCAAGAAAATAAAATTTAAATATCAATTCACATACTCCTAATGATTTCTTCATGATATCCAGAAGTAGCAGCAATGGAAAAGTACCAATCTTCTCCAAACAAACAGCTAACCTCAAGAAGTTCACGAGTTAACTTAAATGGTGCACTTTCAAAATTCACATTCCCAGGAGAATTAGACAGCATGAAACCAAAGTCAATGTGTATAATATGCCCTTCTTCATCCATCAAGAGGTTCCCATTATGTCGATCTTTCACCTAAGAAACCACATCAAAGGAGAGAGGAAGACCAATCATTCAATGTTGAAGGAAAATGGACATTTTCCTCACAAGAAGCTCGAAAATGCATGTCATCAATAAAAACTACATAAAAGATGTACTGGCAGAAAACAAAAGCTTTACAAAATAAGATTATAAGGCAGTATAAACTGTAAAGATGGTCATGTATGCATGTAGGTGCGAGTACACATCCACACACATAGGTTGATGATTATGTAGCAAAATTTCATAGATTTCTTCCTACTTTGAGATGTCAAGATGCTTGTAGTTACAATTTACTAGTCCACACTCAAGATTGAATAATGACCCACCATTTGTTGGCACTTACATTACCAACACCTTTAAACGCATTTCTTCTACAAAAAGATATTGTGATCCAAATGGGTATGCGTGTGCATGAAAAAGATTACATACGCCCCTGGCCTAACTGCCATAGCATTAGCTCACAGGTCAAAAACTCCAACAACACAAAAATATGTAGGGGGATTTTATTGACCCCAAATTCGCAGGCAAATTACTTTGATTTTTTTCATAGCTACTAATTAAGCATGGCAATTCTGTAACCTCAGGGATTTTCTGTAGACAACCAATCTGTCTAGGGAAAAACAAATCCATGTCTTCTTGGGATACTACATACTGAAAATCTTCTAGATTTGACCTGTAACCTCAAGCTTTTCTATAGACAGCCAAACTGTTTTCCATCTACATCAGAGAGCTACTATATGTCTCGTCCATAAGTTCTCTTGCATATGCAGTAATCCTTGCGCGAATTACCAGTACACAAATACCATTGAACAGAACACAAAGGTAATTGGAAAGGTATTATTCCCCTTTTAATGCAAATCACGAAAATAGGGTCACATATTGTATGTCAATCTAACAACAATGAAAGAATATAAATAAAAAGCAAACTCAAATGTTCCAAAGGGACATGAAAGAAAACTAGAACGAATATAAAAAAAAGTGTACAGTTGCTACAACATAAAACTACAAATAAGCCATCAAAGGATACCTGCAAAAGGTAGCACAATATGGAATATCCGGCCATACTCTCCACAAAGTTTCTCTGCAGAAAACATAACACTCGTTCAATTATGCCAGCAATAATGCACAGTTTTAGAACCAAACATATGTAAACTGAATCAATAGATCAGCATCACAACCACAGAAACACATCATTGCATCTAGAGTAATCAAAAGCACAAGCAGCCCCAGGCATTAGATAATATGAGGCACCTTTCTTTGTGCCAATTAGCAAGGTGGCTAAATAACATGTTACTTATTAATACATGTTGTATTATAACTATAATAAACACAAACTTGAAGACAATACATTTAAATATACACACATATATCCAAACATATAAGACATTTCTGCACCATGTATATTGTTTGTAGTGTATAGACACGATATATATATAATCGAATGATGAACATGCATAAGCGGATCCCAGACGCAAATGCCAACCTAGAATCTGCCACTGGTCTTACTAGCGAGACATCACTTCGTGGAGTCGTAAGCTTCTAGTAGATAGCTTCTGACTTCAAGCTCGTCTAGGGGTAGCAGACCCACCAAGACTGCCATTAACAGCCTTTTTTGCTAATAAGTTGCTAATCATGCCACTTAGAAAACTGATAAATTAACTTCTACAGCATAAATATTTTCCATCCATAATCAAATGTTCCGACTTAGTTTTAGGAGAATCTAGAGGGAAAACAAATTCCGATAAGGAAGCTTAGTGGTGGAGTGATGAGCTTCAAAAGGCCATTAGCGAAAACGATCATGTCATAAAATTTGGCAATGTAATAGAAATCCTCCAAGCTTAGAAGAATATAAAAAGGCTAAGAAAAAACCTAAACAAATAGTAAGGCTGAACTTAAGATTTATAATAATTAATACAGTAAACTGGGAACAAAAAATGGTGAAGAAGATGTCTTCAAATTAGCAAAAATGAGAGAAAAAGTGTAGGGATTTAGACCATATTAAATGCATTAAGAGTGAGGATCATATAGTTGTGGTGAAGGATGAAGAAGTCGACATATGGTTTTAAGATTTTATTTTAAAAAATTATTAAATGACGAACCATAGTTACTAGGAACGGTAACATGAGAAGTTTCGGGAACGGGAACAGAAGCATGGAGCGAATCTAGCTCGAAGTTCCCTGGGCCGCGAAGCAAGCTCCGTACATGGCCTAGGGATGGGTGCAAGTTCCATGACTTCTAGGGAGCACATTACTATATAGACGGGAGCGGTTCCCTACGAAAAGGGATCATGTTGCGTCATTCTTAGGATTGAAGTCTCCGGAGTTCACTATTTTCGTATGTTGAAAATTGGGAGAGAGTTCCATTAGATAGCATGTTTAACTCTTTCCAAATCCACGATTCCAGTATCAATGTCATAAAAAACCATGGCATTGAGAATGCCTTTGAATTTTTGATGTCATTGGAGCATGATTTCATACTGAATTCAGTAAACAACAGTATTGGGGTGCATTGAAGCATGATTTCATACTGAATTCAGTGTAAAACCTTATTGTGATGCCTTTGGAGCATGATTTCACACCAAATTTAATAAACAACATTATTGTGGTACACAGTGCACCACTACACCTTAATTATTCAATACCCTTCTCTAAACTGGCACTTGATGCTAAGCAAGATTTATCCTTCTCAAATCTATACTATTGACACTCAAGAATGGGCTAGATTTCCCATTTCGACCAAGTTTGTAATCGACGATTGAGCACATGCATTGTGCTCATGCACGAGTATACTATGCATTATTCCCTCAATCAAAAGACTCAAAACACTAAATACTATATACAAATAAAATAAACTTTGTAAGTGTAGCTCGCTCGCATGGTATAGGATACTCGGTTCCTGGGTGTGATGGAATCATGATTCCAAATGATATTGGAGTAGGCATGCAAATCTGGATCCCACTTGCTAGGGAACTCATTCCCAAATAATAGGAATCGAGTTCCCATAACTCTAGGTACGAGATCTGAATACACAAGGAAGCGTCTAGAATCAAGATCTGGTCACTCAGAGCCAGGGATCGAGATTCTGGGGCGGAAGCAGATCCCTACATGAGCGCTCCCGATAACTATGTGACAAACACAATACGAACGTAGCAGTAAAAGGACCCAATGGCATAAATAAGGGCAGATGCCACAAATACATTCATAGAATTAGGATATTGGAAAGTGAAAAAAGCTTTGAAGATGATGAAGATAGGAATGGATTTAGGACCAGATAGAATTCCGATAGAGGTTTGAAAGTGCATGGGGGAGATTGGCATTGACTAGCTAATCAAGTTGTTCAACAAGGTGTTGAGAACAAAGAAAATGTCAGACAAATGAAGAAAAAGTATAGTGGTACCTATTTACAAGAACAAACGAGACATACAGAATTGTACGAACTATAAAGGGATCAAACTTATGCGCCACACTATGAAGTTGTGCGAGAGAATGACTGAACAACAACTAAGACATGCAACGAGTGTATCAAACAAGCAATTCGATATTATACCAGGGAGGTCAACAATCGAGGCTATTTTCCTACTTAGGCAACTGTTGAGAAGTTTAGAGCGAATGAAAAGACCTTCACATGGTCTTTATTGATCTAGAGAAAGCTTATGATAGAATTCCTAGAGATTTGAGTTGGAGGGCAGAAGAAAGGAGTCTCAAGACACTACATTGACCTGGCGAGAGATATGTATGAGGGAGCGCTAACTAGTGAAGAGATGAGTGAGTTTTCAGTGACAATAGGTCTATATTAGGGGGCAACATTGAGCCCACACTTCTTTGTCTTAGTTATGGACGACTTAACTAAGCACCTACAAGATGAAATACCATGTTGCATGTCATTTATAGATGACATAGTTTTGATCGATGAGACCCAAAACGACGTCAACACAAAGTTAGAACTTTGGTGGGATGCTCTAGAACCTAAAGCTTTTAAAATTAGTAAAACTAAAACAGAGTATATAGAATATAAGTTTAGTAATAATAGGAATAGAGACGAAGTAGCTAAAATTGACCGCCAAGAAATACCAAACAAAGCAGATTTTCGATATCTTGAGTCAATAATCCAAGAAAATTGAGAGATTGAAGAAGATGTTGCACATAAAATTAAAGCTGGGTGCGCAAAGTGGAGATGTGCAATCGGAGTTTTATGTTATCACCCTATACCAATGAAGCTGAAGAGCAAGTTCAATAGAACAGTTATGAGACCAATTTTACTTTAAGTGGTAGAATGTTGGGCGATCAAGAAACAACACACCCATAGAATGAGTGTAGCTGAGATGAGGATGTTGAGATGAATGAGTGGCAAGACAAAAAGGGATAGAATCTTAAATGAATACATTCGGGAGAATTTAGGTGCGGCACCAATAAGCAATCAGATGAGAGAAAGTAGACTTAGGTGGGCTAGCCATGTGTGGCGCGGACATAGTACAACACTTGTTAAGACGTGTAAGTTAGTTCAAGTGGAAGGCTCAAAAAAAGCATGGAATAAGCCCAAAAGGACACAGTTGGGAAGTTATAAGAAAGATGGGGACTTATAGCCTCACTGAGGGTATGGCCCTTAATAGAACTTTTATAGCAGGCCAGGATTCGTGTAGCCAACCCTAATTAGTTGGAAAAATGCTTTGAAGATGATGATGATAAATTAAATGTTTCGAATTTTGACCTTGAAGCTTCAATTTCTACTACCAACTGAAGTTTTGAATAAAACTTGCGCAGAACCATACCATTATTAGCATCCAAGAAAAAAATCCAAAGAAACATCTAATATATAGGAAAATAATCTGGTGTTGGCCATACCTTAGTGAAACACATTGTAAATCAAGTTAGGTAGGAACAAGAACAAATATTAGAAGGCCATATAAGAAATGCAAATTCACCCTTAGTAAAATAACATACTAAAGTAGGAATCCATCACATATGAAAGAAAATATCACCTGCGCAAGCTTAAAACTAGGGGAGTTTTCTTGGTACTTTGCAACAAAGAAATCACGCAAGCTGGTGACATTAGGGAACCTGCTTTTGATGGCATGCAATGAAGCCTGACAGAACATGGAAAGAAATAAGAGTTCATATTGCAACATGAAACTAAATGTTTTCAAGGGTAAAGAAAAGTGAAATTACCGTATCTGGGATTGTCTCAATTAAAGCAGTGTAGGAAGAAGTAACCAAGACTTCATAAGGCCGCAACCAAAGTGGCAAACCAGCTTCTTGATAAATATCTGCATTATATACAAAAGACATTTGGCCAATAAATACACTCCAAAATTAAAATTAATTTGCAAGTACATGTACATGCATTGATAATGTGCACGAACTTTAGATTTGTGTATCACTCTTTGTATGTGTAAGTGCAACTATAACGGTAAGACTCCGACATAGATATACGAGTAACTAAATAACAATCCACCAACGACACATGCACACCACCATCCTGTCCCTTACTCCCAAAGGACAAAAGCCCTCATCTAGCCAACTTCTCCACCATGATAAAAACCTGCAAATATTTTCCCTTTAAAGCCTTAAGAGATTTCTTGACAAGCATGTAACTGGCATTCTTTCACCCTCCAATGAAGAGCCCGGTCTTACCATCATTAGAAATCTGAATTCTTTTTATGTCCTCAATGTAAAATTTCTGAAATTCCCCTAAGCATTTCACACTCACAATGGAACAGTAAATGCTGCGCATCTGGCTCTCCCACTACGAAAAGGTCTCTCCTGGTAAGATCCTCACAAAGAATCAAGGAGTTTGACATCCTATAAAACTCCGCAACCTAGATTAAGGACTGTATTCAGAGGATTGCTATTTAATCTGATCCTATAGAACCCATTAAGAAAAATAAAAAAATATGATCCTCATAGAGCTAGTTGGAATAAAGAACCTTAAAATAAATAAGAACTAGTCTCTTCCACACAACATTTGGAAACTGTTGCTCGCTTGGTACTCAAGAAGGGCTGAGGCGAGTCAAATTGCCAAGTCTCAACTTGGCTCCTATTGTCTTTTTCAGCTCTTAAATAAGAGCAAAGAAAAATCCAATAAAACTGAAAAAGAGGGAAAACTAGAAATATTATATAAGAGAGAAAATTCTGAAAAATTATAGCATTAGAAAAATGAAAAAACAGTGGAAAGAAAAAAGAGAAGTTGTTGCATTGGAAACAAAATAAACATGATAGGGACATAATAGCCCAATACGAAACATCTTGTTACCATCATCATGCCAAAATAAAAAACAATTGGAAATTTTGAAATAACAAAGTTCGCTCTTCATGGGACAATGTCATCTTCTTCTCTAGAATCAAGTCTCTCAATTGGCTGCTTGTATCAATGTCTTAACATTTGGCTCCATTTGGCCATCAACCAAGACCAAAATTGGTCCCAAAAAAAAGAATCATTCGAAAAATAAAATTGATCCAGTTGGATGGCTCAATGATTGAACCTCAATGGGACCAGGGGAGTCCTCTAAACTGCATACTCCCAGGTTGTTTCATGGGACAAAATTTCAAAGAGAATGTTGTCTCATGGGAAACAACATCCATGGCTATCAAGGATTCAAAAACAGACCGCCAGGCGCATAGGCGCCCGCCTAGGTGCCCAAGACCCTAATCACCGCATGCCCAGCACTAAGCAGCCCAATACGGGTGGATGTACCAGAGCGGGCATCTAGGGCCGTCGGCCCTTTTCCCTTTTTTTAAGTGGCCGAAAAGGGCAAAGGGGCCCATTTTTGTCCCCCAAAGATAGCATAAATATATTATGGGGGTTATTTTTAACCCCCTAAAGTTAAAAAAACACCCTCAATCTATTTGTCATACCTATTTCTGAGAATCGAAAGTATTTTTTGTGGATTGAAAAACTTTCCTAAACTTTTATTTTTTCATTTAAATTATTTTTAGGGTGCTATTGGAGGTATTAGAAGACTTTTGAATTGATTCGTAGCTCGATTGAGGTAACAAACATCGAAAACCAGAGATTGGGAAAAAAGGTCAGTTTGTAATCTTTATTTGAGTTTTATTTTTCTCATTTGAGATGTCTTCTGCGGGGTCTACTACGGGTGGGGATCTGTGATGGAAATATTGTGTTAACCCGGATAACAATGATAGGAATAAAATTATGTGCAAACATATTTCTAATGTCGGCATAAATAGATTTACAAAACATTTTGCCGGTATTAGAGGTGATGTTGCCCCCGAGTAAGAAAGTCCCAAAGCTTGTAAGGAAAGAAACTTATGAGTACATTGAAGGTGAAAAGAATTAAAAAAAAAAAAAAAAAATCCAAAGAAAAGGATATGGCAGAATTAAAGGCAGGGGTCCATATTTGTGATGATGATATTGACACTGAAGAGGATGAAGAGGGGGAAGAGGAGGTAGCCATGGTTGGTACTCAGAGCGCTAACAGTAAGGGATTTTGGGTCTAAGAAGCCTCGTATGAGAGGGCCTATTGATAGTTTCTTTACACGTAGCCCTGAGACAGTAATTGAGAAAGGGAAGGGAAAAGGGAAAAAACAAGTGACACTTGAAAATAGATTTAAGAAGGAAGAAAGAGGCCGGGTGATTCAGTATATTGCTCGGTGGTTTTACCATGCGGGCAATTCTTTTAACACCGCTCGCTTAAGTAGCTTCCATTCAATGTTGGCAGCAATTGAGCAATTTGGGCCAGGTTTGAAAGGCCCGACTCCATATGAGATTGGCGAGCCACTACTGAACAAATAAGTTGAGCTTAGTAGTCTAGTACTCATGCATTTTTCCTTATAGGTACATACAAAGAGAAGAAATAGGCTTGAGCAAAGGAAGCTCAATGACTTGGTTTATGTTACAGAAAATTAGAGGCTCAAGGAGAAGAAAAACCAGCCAAAGAAGGATCACATCGCTTCGAAAGACATGGAGAATAATTCAGATTGGCTAGTTGGAGACCCTGACACTGAGGAGGTCTTCCTCGAAGAGGGTTTGATCTGGGAAATGGTCGAGGAGGATTTGGGACGAGCTCATGATCCTAGGAGGGCCACTCGAGCAACGGCTTCTGCTGGTACTTCACACTCACAGAGGGAGATAGAGAAAGAGGAGGAAGATTTAGAAGAATCTATGGAAGAAGAAGCATATGTTGAAGAGGGTGATGAGTTTGATGATGACGGCCTCGAATCCGATGCAGATGCAAGCAATAATGATGATGATTCTGATTCTTATATATGTCCTCTCTTCTTTTGTAGTATCTTTATTGCACCATCTTGGTTTGGGCTTTAGACATTTGGATTTTGGATGTTAGATAGACTCTTTTTGCCTTTTTGGACTATTTTGCTGTCATGCCTTTTTCGACTATTTTGTTTTGTGGTTTTATCTTTTGAAAGTCAGTTGGTTGAAGACTTGGAGAGCTGTAGACTTGAATGTTGTGGTTAATATTATGGATATGAAATATGGAAAATTTGAAAGTGGGAGACCATCAAAATATCATTCTTACATAGCCTATTAGACTTTTATATGTTTTGCATAGTTTAAATTTTGAAATTTTGAACAAATTTATTATCAACATGTGATATGTCGATATGTCATATGTTTGTTATAAAAACGTATGTTACAATATTTTTAAATGCAATAAATTACAAAATTGACAGAAATGTATGCATGTATGTGCATTTAGACAGCAAATATATGTATATATCTTAAAAATTTGTACTATAGGGCGCCTGAGGTTCTGGGCGCCCGCCTGAGCACTGGGCGCCCGCCTGAGCACTGGGCGCTAGGCCAGCCGCCTACGGGGCCAGCTAGCGTTTTTTGAAACCTTGATAGGTATGGCATTACACCCATCTCCCAAAAATGAAAGAATTGAAAACATACTTAAATATAACTACTATGGACGCGGTTAGCATGTGGCCAGCCCGCATATTGTAGAAATGCAGGCTTGGCAATAAATATATTTTTAAAATATAATTTGATCCTCATTTTTAGAGTATATCTTTAACATGGAGATCATGAATACAAAAAAAAAAATAGAAAACTAGAAATAATAATTATATGAAGAAAACACTTGGACCGTTAGTTACAATTGTTTTTAGATGGACCACCTATTTGCATCCATCTTTAAGATGAATACTTTATACCTCTGAACCGCATATTGTAGAAATGTGGTCCAGCCCGCATGAAACAATTGTTCAATTACTGTTCCACCGCATGTGCTTGGGAGTTGGAATATGCAATCCACCATTTTTCAAAATTAACCAGCCAATGGAGCAGAAAACCACAGATAAACATACCATAGAAGTGAGATATTAGTTGTACAGCAAGATGCTCCTGCCGGCAATCATCACCACTCTTAACTATGAGCTGCAAGAGACACAAAAATAATAAGAAGGCGCCAAGGGTATCCAAATAATTAATATAAAGCACATAAACATGAAGGGCCGCGGTTCCTAAGTACAGATACCATGCACATCTCATACACAAAAAATTGTGCAGAAGAATTCAGCCTCCTAGGAACTATGCCTACAACCAATCAATAATGCTTTATCACAAGCATAGAACAACGCAATAAAGGTATGGGATAAAATCAGTAGTTGTTGCAAGTAGCAATCCTAAAGTTCTTTAATAAAAGAGTAACTTCAGAAGCCCATGGCCATTATCCACCAGCTTAGTGAACAGAGTAGGATATTTGTACAACATTTGTTAAGTTCCATTACAGCAATACAAATGCCTCATCAACAAGCATAGAAATACTCCAAGACCAAAAAGGCACGGGACAAAATCAATAGCTTTTGCAGGCAGTCATTCTAATTTTCTATATTATAAGTCAATTCAGAAGCCCATTCACATTATCCATCAGGTCAGAGAACAGAGTAGCACAATCTTACAACATTTGTAACATTTATTCAGCTCCTTTACAGCAACAACAGTAATAGCACAGATAAACATTGCTAAAGCAACAGTAGGCCATATTTAAATGCATCCAAATAATCTTATCACATATGCTATGGATTGAGATACATAATCAAAGCAAATAACCCTGGATTGACAAAAATAAAAAATAAGATAATAACAAGTTGATCAAAGGCTGCAGGGCCCCCCAAACTCATCATGCCAATGGTAACCCATGTTCACTGCTCAAAAATTTGAGATCAAAGTACATGCTGCTTCAAATAGCATATCAGAAATTCAGTATGACCAAAGAATTTTCTTTTTCGAGAAAATCATCATTGCAGATACCATACTTATTTTTCAATCATCTCACTTAAATTTAACCCTCGGTACCCCAGTTCAAGTGGATCTCTGCAGCTATGCTTATTTAGCATTCAGGATGGGCTGGAACCTCCCAGAAAACGTTGTTGTATCTACAAACATTGTCTTTACACTATTTCTTTTTTAGTGCCTCTCCCATCATGTTTGATGGCCGCACTAACGCACAGGGAACGTGCAGAACCGATTTACAACAGGTGAGGGCCATTACTCTCATTTTTTGAATGAACAAATTTTAAGGAATTATCGTAAATTGGGTAAACCTCAACGATCTAGAATGACTAAAGAATCCAGCACCCCTAAAATAGGTAAGACGTGAAGCACATATGAATCCATACCATCCTAGGCCAAAACTTATTAAACCTCAAGATATACCATAGGTCATCAAAGCCCAAGCTCTACTTCTAAAATGCATTTTGAGTACATGACATCAAGACCATCTTTGTGTTGGTTTATAATCTTTGGCCACCCACCTTTCATGTACCATCAATCAGGAGATGAGATGAGTCTCAATGTTAACATTACGAAAAAATATAGAATTAGAAGTGTGAAATGATGATCTTTCTTGTGAAATTCTTTTAATAAGCCCAGCATGTCACCACTAATGATGAATATTTTCTTGTCAAAGTTTCTTTTAATACTGTAACAAGACTATAATACCCACAAATATAAAACCATAAAAAGCTGGATAGAATCTCAACTTACAGAACGGAGATCCCAGTCAGGTGATTTTCCATAGACGGAAGCGTTCCGTATCCTCTCTTTCTTCACCTCCCAAAGCTCACCAGACAAAGCATCAGTAGGTTTTGGAAGACCACCATTTGAAACCTGTTTTGAAATAACACACCAATGCTATTTGATATACAGATGCCCTGTAAAAGATCAACTATATAAACTAAGATGTTCACGTAACATTACCTTTGACTGTGCATCTGCTGAATCATCACCAACTCTTTTAAGAGGAAGTCCAGGCGGTGCCTCTCCTTTCTCTGCGGCAGCCTGGACACAGACAAGAAGAAATTTCAATGACAGGCTTGACCAACATATTTGTAGGAATTTATGCAACCAAACCAAAAACTATTTTGACTAGATCACTGATTAGGAATGGATACACCTAACGAATCATTCAAACTGATGTCCATAGAATTTCAAGAGATATCGCAACCACAAACAGAGTAAAAATAACAATTGTTATCAAATGTATAGATTTTCTTTAAGGCAACTTCCATTGCAAGAAGGTCCAAGGATTCAAAAGAAATTCTAAAATAAGTATGATAAAGAAGCAGAAAAAAGAGAACTAGACAAGGCATGGAAAAGTTCCTCATATTGGGTAATGTAGTCTTACTTATATCAAGCAGTTAACCTGATATGACATTTGTATTATGCATGTTGAAAATTTAGTCTGAAGAGTTACCAACCAAAACAAATTGTGGCAGGGTGAATGATCCTACGCAGCTTCATGGAGGACTAAGCAAGGTACTTCACGCTATATGCCAAGCCTATGATCAAAGGATACCTGATGAGTCATGTTAGGGACGTCTTTTCAATTTTTTGACAAATGTGCCAGAAACATCTTTAGAGTTTCAAATCTAGATGCAACTTTTCAGTCCAAAATGCTCCACAGATGTGCATTAACTTTCCCGCATCTGTATAGCTTCAAGGGGTACTTGTAAAAAGCCATGTAACTGCAGATCTCATATAAAGACTAAGCCCTGCTGATATTTATTAAACGGTACACTCTGAGCAGTATGTGGTTTTGAGCACTTATAAAAGGCAATCGATGTACAGACACAGTATAGGAATGAGAATGACGAATTTGCAGCAGAGCTTATGTTTGGGTCAATAACAAGTCAACCACATTTCCTTTTTTTTGGATCTTACGTGTTATTGTGAATAACAAGAATACAATTCAACTCATCTAATCTGCGATTCAAGCAATACTTAAGGCCCAGTTTGCACACTCCCGTGAATGTACTACAGAATAGCTTAATTTGAGATTTACAGTGAAGCAGGTTTTTTCCTCCTAAATATGTGGGCTACATCATTTTCCAAATAAGCATGGAAGAGAAACGTGCCTTACTCATGAATAGCTGGAGCAGACCAAACAATGCCCTTTATTATTCATGTATGGCCAGGGGAGAGAGTTTCAAAAAACCAAGAAGCCCCTGCTAGGAGGATTAGTAGCTCGCTCAGCTGCAAAGCCAAGCTTAAGAGTTTCGAAAAACTAAGAAGCCTGCTAGGAGGATCAGTGGCTGAGCTGCTTACTATAGTATAGCATAGCGAGCAGCGAGTCAGTGTTAACAAAGGAACCTGCGAGAGAAGCGCACCCATAAGGATTAGTAATCCTTCTATAGGAAATAGATTACTTGAAGGTGATCAATGTTCAGAAAGCAGATGCGGCCGCCAAGTACCTGGGAGGCCCTAAGGGAAGGGGGTTTGGGTGGGGGCCATATATTGTTTTGTGTGTGTGTGTGTTTTGCGAATGTGTGTATGTGTTTAGTGTGTGTATGTGCATGCAATTGTATATGTGTGCGTGAGGTCTCACATGAAATTCTTAAAAATCATCCTCTTCTTTTCTTTTTTTCTGTTGATTTGTATTTGAGAGAGAGTTCTTGAACACTTGGAGGATACGTCGAGAGAGAGGGGGACCTCGAATCGAACACTTGGAGATCATCTTCTTCTTTTTCTTCTTCTTACATGTAAAGAGGGAGGATATGGATCCAAGTGTATCTTTGTGTATATGTGTGTGTAAGAGAAAGAGGCCGTGCATCAAACACTTGGAGTCCATCTTCTTCTTCTCAGATTTAGAGAACACATGGGCCCGAGAAAGAGAGAGAGAGAGAGAAGGGCAATACTTGGCTTTATTTTTGTTTGGGTGGATTTGAATTTCTATTTTTTCCTTTTTTAAGGGATGGCACCAGGTGGGCGCCCAGACCGCTTACATGCCCGCCTTAGGCATGCCCGCCCAAACTGCCTACACGCCGGCCTTAGGCATGCCTGCCCAGACCCCACTGCCTAGGCGGGCAGCCGACTTTTTCCTCACTGAAGGTGATAAGTTGACTACAGCTATTCTTCTTTTAAAAGAGAGCTTATATGTCAACTGAAGCTTTTTTTTTTGGGAAACATTTAGTATAACTCTATAGAAGTAAAGTGTTGGGTACTCGTACCCAATATCCAACATCCATATGTATTCCTCGAGATTAACTGTTCCCACTTCAAAATATAGTTGGCCATAAAAGCTGACAACGACTCAGTCCCCAACATCGGCAAATAAATAAGGACATGGATGATGAATCTAAGTTATTATACTTTTACCAAGGATATAATATTTTCCATTTTTCTTTTTATTGATAAGCAAAAGAGAGAGAATTTTCAAAATACTCTTTATACTAAGTCTTTTAAGGATGCATACTAAGTCTTGTTGTAAAGATCAAATAAAAATCAGTGCCTTTCTTCTTTGTACATAAGAAAGTTTTATCCACATCACAAATGAGTAGCAAATATGAGAAAACTCAAAGATAAACATTAGGGTTTTAAAAATCTCCAAGTCGACTTGGAATCGCCGGAATCTACTTGGGCTTCCCTGGGTATAAGGTCAATCCTTGCCCGTCCCAGTACCACCTTTTGATATGAAACATGGAAATAAAATAAAAAAATTTAAAAAAAAAAAATTCAACTTTTCTAATCTTCGTTTTTCAACCCATAATCCATATCCAACTCCATTTGATTGATTTGGACATAATCAACCCCTCTAAGACCCAAAAAACTCCTCCCTTGGATCAAAATCTGCATTTGAGTGAGATTATTTTAATGAAGTCTTTCACCATTTTTTTAGCCCAAAAACCTAATCAACCTTTCTTGCAAAATCCCTCTCTCATTTCTTAACCAAATCACCTACAATTTGATTCAGAATGTTGGTATTGTAACCATCCTGCCAACCTCCATAACAATTTATTTGTTTAAATAAAAAAAGAGGAGAATTTAGGAGTTCAAACTCTACGACAATTTTAAACTCCAAATAGAAAATCTTCTATTTCTCTCCAATTGTTTCACCAAAATTATTCAAAATTTCTCCCAAAATGTACCTACCATATTTGATCTATACCCTAACAAATTACCTTGAATCAAAATCAAAAATGACTAAGATTGATTTATCGTTTTTTTTTGTTGCCATTTCTTCTGCCATTTTCTAATAAAAGTATTTATTTATTTTAATTTTTTAATTGATTTTGATCAAAGAAAGGAAATTCGGCCGCCTTGCCACCTAGGAAGCCATTTTCTCAAACTGCCTAGGCATGAACTAGGCGATATGTTCCAGGCTGGTACATCTAGGCGCCGCCCAATGCGTAGGCGCCACCTCCAACAATCGCGACCGAGGGCGGAAAATGCCCCTCGGCCATTGGGTAAATTTGTCATCCCCCCCCCCTAAAAAGGAGGGGAAAAGGTTTTGGGGGCCATTCTTGCCCCAAAAAACATTTTTAGTGATGTTTAGAGTGAAAAAACTTGAAAAAACCAAGAGTTGAATATTTTTAGATAGATCTAAATTTTTTTCAACCTCCTTGAATGCCTAGGAAATTAAAGGATATTCATCCCCAATCTTTTTGAGGCTTGCAGTGGTTCTAAAAGAGGAGATTTGGAAACTAAAACTTTCCAGTTTGGACCGATATCAATTCCATTTCAATAAGGTTGGTATATTTAAATATTTTTTATTAGGTTGTGTATTTTTTTTGTTCACAATGTATTATGATGTTATTATTTGCTTTTTCTACTTTCTTTTGATACTTTATGACATATTTAATATGTTATCAACTATTTGGTTTATTATTCACCCAAAAAAACAGAACTACGAGGATTATTTTCCCATTTTGATACTTAGTTTGGGTCTTTGGAAAAGCAATTCAAAGGAAAACATCCATTGCCACCAAACCGAATAAATATTTTTTTCTATGCATGAGTTTACTTGTATGATTCATAAACCATAACTTTTATCCCCATAATTTTTTTTTACTACCTAGTAATCAAAAAGAAAAAAAAAATTTACTACCTCATTTAACAATTGCTTATTAAATAATTGCATGAGTAATACGTTTTTTCGATTTTATGTGTTATATCCTTGCAATTTTGATGTGTAGGTTTTACCTAGATTTTTTATTTTTTTTCGCTATGATCATGCTTGCTTTACTTCATCCTTGGATTGTTAAGAACTAAAGATAATAAGAGGTCAATGAAACAATTCTTTCTACTTCATTTCCTAGTTGTAATTTTTTTGATGACCATATTCTAATAATTTTTGGATCACTAATTTGAAAGTTCAAATATTTAGACTAGTAGTTGTAAATTTATCTTGCTTTTGTGTTTGTATTTACAATTTTCACTTCTCATAAATATTTTCAAGCTTGACTTTGTTGTTTTTGTGTAATTGATAAGTTGATACTTTATAGCTAAAGGGTTGTAGGTGAAATGTCTTCCTCAAGTTCATGTAAACAAACTGATCTAGGTTGGAAATATGGATATTGTCTCAACCTTAATGACAAGAATAAAGTAGCTTGCAAGTTTGGCAAAAATGAGTATAATGTTGCCATTAGTAGATTGAAAAAGCATTTGGCAAGCATAAGAGGAGACATAGCACCATGTACTCAAGTCCCTGCAGAGGTCAGGAAAGCGACGTTGGATCATTTAGAAGGGCTCCAAAAGAAGAAAGAACAAACCAAGAAACAATATCAAGACATCATGACCTTTGTAAATATTCATGGAAGAGACCTCAAAGAATAGGGCCTATTGGTACATTATTCCACCATCCCGATCCCGAGGTGGCAGTTTCCGAAAAGCAGTTGGCACAGAGTAGTCTAGAGAGTCAGTTGAAGAAGCAGGATAGAGAAAGGGTGAATCAATATGTGGCTCGATCGTATTTTCAAGCAGATCTACCATTTAATACTTCCAGTTTGAGTAGTTTCCATGCAATGTTAGAGGCAGTGGGGCAGTTTGGTCCAATATATAGGGCCCTACACCTTATGAGCTCAAGGGGGCCTTTGTTGAAGAAAGAGGTAGGATAGGTGGTCGGCGAGTGTTATGAACTTATTAGTTAATAATCCCATGAGAACAATATTTTTGAAGTCCGTGGACATATCCGATAAGAGTCATGATGCGGCTTTCATATAGAGTGTTGTAGATCAATGCATTGCAGATGTGGGGGAGGCACATGTTGTGCAGGCTGTCATAGATATGGCTAAGGCCAATATGGCAGCTGGTAGAATGTTGAAGATTTTAAGGCCGCACATTTTCTGGACGCCTTGCACGGCTCAATTGTATCGATCACAGTTGCTGGGATCGGGAGGGGGAACGGTACCTAGAGGGAACGTGAAATTCTAGAAGATCTTTATGGTTGGGAGCGCCATTCGTACAATTCACATGTTAGGGATGAGATTCCTAAATGTTAGGGATCAAAATTCCAACCTTTTGGGGATCTTGATCACGACCTGTTGGGATCTTGATCCCAACTTTTTGAGGATCTCATTACCAACCTTAAAGTGTATGATAATCTAATATTATGTATACTCTTTAAAGTAGGGATCTCATTATTGATAGCAAGCAAGCAATTGTATACTCTTTAAAGTAGGGATCTCATTATTGATAGCAAGCAAGCAATTGTATACTCTTTAAAGTAGGGATCTCATTATTGATAGCAAGCAAGCAATAGTTGTGTTGCTAGTTGGCTATAAACAAAGAAAATCATCAGTTTGGTTGTTGTTTTGGTCTTTAAGGTTAGGATCCAGATCCCTAACAACATGAATTGGGATCCCTATGAGTAGAGTTCGAGATTCCAAACTTTAAAAATCGAGATCCCAGAGAGATCCATTTCGGGAGCGGCAGACTCAAGATGCTAGAAGGGATCGCCTAAGAGATCCCAATAACTATTGTATTGATTTCATACAGTGTATCAAAAAGCGCTAGGCGGGCGACCAGAGCCTGGGCAGTTGCCTAGTTGAAAAAAAAGAAAAAATCCCAATATACCATATTACAAGTTGAAAAAAAGAAAAAACAAAAAAGATAGAAGTCGAAAAGAGAATTTTGATAATCCATATTGTTAAAACAGTAAATTGTAAAACCATACAAGCGTAGGATATAAAAGTCAGCACTCAACACAACAGAAATATACAGAAATTTAGAAAATATACAGTCTAACAAAAGTCAACACTCATGACTCAACAAAACAGTCAACAAACTCAACACTCAAGCAGTCAGCACCAAGAGGCAAGAGTCTTCAGTCATCATCATCATTATCATCAGAAGGAATATCAATAGAGCAAGCCTCATCATATGCATCAGAGTCGAGGCCATCATCATCAGAGTCATCTCTCTCTTTAATATAACACTCGTCCTCCTCTGTTTCTTCTGAATCTGCCTCTTCCACCTCCTCTTTTTCTACCTTCCTCTTACTAATATGTGCAGTCTGTGCAGATGAGGCCCTAGGAGTCTTGGCAGCTCTACCCTTTTTTTTATTCTTCTCTAAACTCAAATATTGTATAATTTCCTCCTTGGTAGCCTCAAGAACATTTTTACACGGGGCAACATCCCCCGTCATACCGGCAACGTGTTTTTTAAACCGGTAAATGCCCCCATTAGTATCATTTCCACAATAATTACATTTAATATAATTTTTATCACTTGGATTCGAGTTATAACCATACTTTCAATCCGGATCACCACTCCAACTAGAAACTGGAGAAGATACTTCCATAGAACAAGGCTTATTTTCATCCGTTTTTTGTTCTTCAAAATTCATAAGATGTCTAATCTCATCTCGAACTGCTTCAAGAACCTTTGTACAAGAAGCAACATTACCTCTAACACCAGCAAGGTGTTTTTTGAATCGACTAATACCCCCATTGATATCTTTTTCATAAAAATTACACCTTATACAATTTTTGTCATTTGGTTTTGGGTTGTACCCATACTTCCAACCCGGATAACTTTTTCTAGGAGTAGCAGAAATAGATCTATGGCAAGGATTTTGTTCTTGTTTTTGTTTTTCATCACTTAAAAATTGCTTAATCTCCTCCTTAATAACTTCAGGAATATTTTTACAAGAGGCAACATCCCCTTTAATACCAACAAGATGTTTCTTAAACCGGTTTATGCCTCCTTTTGTATCTTTTTCAGAAAAATTGCATCTAACACAATTTTTGTCATTTGGATTCGGGTTATATCCGTATTTCCACCCGGATCTCCACTCCGACGAACTCTTGAAGAAGACATCTCAAAATAAAACAAGCAATCTAAAAAATGCACTTACTTTGGTTGCTTGAACTCCAAACTTTGAGAAACACTTCGATGATTCGATCCAATGAAATGTAGTTTTTTTGGAGGTTTCTGTTACTCTAAAAGGGGTTCTGGTGGGTTTAGGCTTCAAATGAAATTAAAAGTCATCATTATTAACTGTTATATCTTTGAAAAAAATAAAAAAAATAAAAAAATAAAAACTTTTCCACCTCTGGGCGGGGCTCAGGCACTGGGCGACCGCCCAGGGCTAGGCGCTGGGCTGCCGCCTAGGCGGCCGCACAAGGACCACCTCCCAACTTGGCCACCTAGGCCTGGGCGATGCGCCAAGGCTTTCTGGACCGCCTAGACACTGAGCGGTCCGCTTTTTAAATCATTGATCTTATGCTTGAAAAAATTACCACAAAGAAAGTGGTGCATGAGATATTAGAAAAAACCAAAGCTATAACAGTTTTTATTTATAGTCACATCTATGTTTTGCCAATTATGAGGAAGTTTACAATGAGATTGACTTCGTGAGGCCGAAGGTTACCAGGTTTACCACTTCAACATGGTTAGATCCTTGTCTCTTTACTTATTCAAAGAATCCAAAGACAGGAATGGAAGGGGATGGAGGCAAAGGGGAAGACATTGTTATGGCACTCGGGTTTTGGAGTAGAGTTCGGTTTTGCCTCCATATTTTTGAGCCACTTGTGAAAGTGTTTCGCCTTGTTGATAGTGAAAAGGAATTCGCAACGGGGCATATTTTCAAAACAATGGAGGTTGCAAGAGAAGAAATCAAGTGGAACTTCAAGTAAGATGAAAAAAGATATGAGCCCATCGTGAAAGTCGTAGATGATAAGTGGGATATGCAGCTGGAGAAACCCCTCACCTAGCAAGATACTTTCTCACCCCTACTTATTTCTATTCTGATCTTGAGAGAGAGAGAAATGTCAAATGTCCTAGACAACTGTGTATCTATGGAACTTGACTTGTATCGTTACTCTATAAGGACACTTAGGATGGACATCATAGTAAGGCAAAGGATGAAGATATATCCATGTAAGTTGAAAATGCATGTCATTTAAATTTAACTTGCCTCTACTTTTTAAAATTCTAAATTTACTCAGATATATGTATTCTACTTATTTTTATTTTTAAATGTCTTATAGCCTCTTGGTGGACCAACCATGGACAAATTACTCCCAACTTGCAAAAGATGGCACAGCGGAATTCGAACTTGACTTGTACATCGTCAGGCTGCAAGTGCAACTTCAGCACATTTGAGATTCAAGTGTACTTGATGTCAGATGTCGACCTTGTGTTGCTAGTGATGATGAAACTCAACTTCATGTTCATATTTGTGGGGTGAAGAAGACTAATGTTTGTAATTTATGACCTTTGATTGTCAGATGTGGCTTTTTATTTTGACTTATGAGTATCTGTTGTCACTTGCGACTTGTGAGATTTAATGGACATCTCGAGTTGCTTTAATCTTTTAATGTTTCTTTTGAGTTTTAACTATTTCATTTACAGTTCAAACTCATGTATGTCTATGTTTGATCTGTATGTCTGACTTCTTAACAATATATTATATACAAAACTTACTTATTAAATAAGAAAATGCCAATTCTTTATATAATAAAAGGGGGGGGGAGGAGGGGGGATGGGGGAGGGCGCATGTGGGGGGGTCCAACGATCCACAAGGATCTGCCCCTCCCCCCCGCCTTTGTGTCCGAACACCCGCCTAGGAGTTCATATCCACCTTCTTAAACGTAGATTATGATATATACTTTCTATTATATGAAATAAAATATTTGGTTTTTATTTTTTATGTTTTTTTTTTTTTGTTATTTTCTTCTTTTTTAAAGAAAAATTAGCCAAGTTAACAGATTCAACTCAGTGACTGGTTCAACTTGGACCAGTGCATGACCAGTTCGATCTGCAGGTCCAATCTTAAAATATTGATACACATATGACAATATATTTACAAAATTACATATAACTAAATCTATGAATCTACACATGAATATATGGAAATATATATATGCATGTGTGTATGTATGTATGTGCATGTGTGTGTACATAAATTTGTGTATATATCAATGGAAAAACATATAATGTTAGCCTACTAGCTGATGAAATAATGTACGCAATGCCTAGGAAGATTAGAGGTCAGCATGAAGGGCTCGCTATGCGATTTCTTTTTACTTTTTCTTTTATTTTATTTTCTTTTTTTGTTTTGTATACAAATCTGATGCACCCCAAATTTGGGAGCATGTGCAGACCTAGGTGCACCAAGAAAAAAAATGAAAAAGGAACAAAATACCACCGCCCTTGTCGGTGAATGTTGTCCTTCCAGATTGGCCTTTCTGGGAAATCTGGACAATTGGGCTGATACGGTTCCATCAGCCCACAGTTTACAACATATTTCTTTTACACACCCACACACACAAAAACATTATTAAGATATAAAGAGATAGTGAGCATATACAGCCACAAGCCATCACTCAAACTAAACTCAATATTTCCCACTTACAGGCGCACCTTTACTTCTGCCATCGCAATTGTGCTTGGAACACGCCGATGATCCTTGCGGCGTACAGGCTCCTGATCCTCTACATCTTCCATATTAACACCTGGAACTGCAGTCAGGGTGACATTCACCCAGCCCAGCTCAGGTTCTTGGTCTGCCCTCGACTTTTCCTTTGATATTTGGCCATTGAACACATGACTATGCCCAGAAACTGAAATGAGCTGCCCATTATCTTCTTGCCCATTACATTCTGTGTCTTGAACCTCACCCTTCTTTGTGTGATCTTGAGTATGCTTCTCGAGAGAAAGACTCACATGAACGAACTTCACTTTGGCCTCCCATAAATGTGCCATTGCCTGGTCAATAGCCTGGGAAGCAGATCTCAACATCTGATCAGTACCATTATGATGAACATCCTGTAATGGATATGCCCAAGGAGGAGGTTTCTGTAATTGTGCATCTCCATTCGCTAAAGGAATCCCTCCTCTTGAAAGTTTTTGAGTATCAGACTGATCTTTTTTGGAGCTAGGAATTGATGACAAGTTAAACGCACAAGTTAATGAGAACTACTTACTAAGCAGTCATCTAACAACCATTTATGAAACTTCTAGTAAAATTGGGAATGCAGACCAGAATGTATACACATCATCATGATAATCAACTGAGGAACTTTATACATACCTTGGACTTTCACCTTTCAAAACCTCAACGCATATCAGGTAAGGAGCCTTTTCCCTGGAATTCAAGAGAACAGCTTCATCTTCAGGAATATGAACCACACGATACATTCCTTTTCCCATAGGAAAGCAAACTCCTGAAAAAAGATAATAAAACAGCTGAATATTCCGGAGGACTAAAGTTTCATGGATAGGAGAAAAAATATTTCACAGGCTTGAGCTAGGTTAAGCATCCGTAGATACAAGCACATAATTTGTGCTTGGTGTTATCAAATTTGAACAAACTAAAGGAATAAAGTAAGGATATGCAGACTGATTAGCAAAGAAGTATGAATGGAATAGTCATGTTTGTGTGTGAGTGTGTGTGTGTGAGAGAGAGAGAGAGAGAGATGCAGAAGAAGAATGAGCTGAAATTTGCATATTGAAGACCCCAAATGCCAAAGTAAAATTGTCATATCCACGCATAGACTATAAATGTTTTGTAAACGTACAGAACAAAAAAAGAAGACGAGCACATGGGTTATAACATGCAAAATGAGAAAAAAAAAAATGAGGAGACCATGATCCCCAATGTGTTTGTCAATCAGAATAAACTGTGGAGATCATTCAAATGTTGTAACTTCTAATTCATTGACATAACAAAGTTATAGTCGGACATATTTCATGTTGTAAAGAACTTTTACAGGAATGAAACATATTTCATGTTGTAAACAACTTTTACAGGAATGAAACATACAAATTCATTCAATAGCTTCTTCCTATAAAAAACACATGATGGTTACTTCAATTTGACAACAGCTTAAGAGATATACAACACAATGCTGATTCACATCACAACACCTTGGCTTTCAATAAGTCGGTCAGTGAGCGTGACAACCACTCAGCTTTAAGATTGCATACAAGTCATGTTTATTCAGGATCTTCTGAAAACACATAAGTTCACTGCTGGATCTCGTTATTTCTCCCAAAAGAGTTCACTGCTAGACTTGCAAATAGAAATAAGCTTTCTCAATTCTACAGTGTCTATATAGGCCCAACTAAATAAGGACAGTTAGATAATAAATATAAACCATAAAGTGCATCACATACAAGAGAATCATCAATATTGACTGCTTTGATACAAACACCAGAATATAATGCTACATCAAGATAATAGAAAGGAAACATTAACATCTCTGAATTCCAAGGAAGTTACTATACTCTAATAAATTGGCAAAAAATAAAACATCCCTGACATAAACTTGTGTCGCAAAGCCAAACAAAAATAGAGGTTTAGCACCTTAAGAGGATTAAAGAGAATACCTCCACTATTTCGAGCAGCAGCAAGATGTGAGTTGATCTCCACAAGAGACTACAAGTAAGAAAATTAGATGAGCCACAAAGAATAAAACACCTACAGGTTCATATAAACATAAAAAACTAACAGAACCCATAGTAGAGATGAGTAGTACCTCACGGAGAGCACGTTTGCGATCCTCCATTGGGAAAATATCTACTAAACCATAGGAGGTCTCACAGAGTGACAGAACAAAGTCCAAGGAAGCATGATACGTGTCTTTCCGTAATTGAGATATGATATTATTTGGCAATGGAGGTTTTGCAGCTTTGTCACTACGCTGCCTTGGTGAGCCTGGACGTTTCTGCCATTTTCAAAACTTATCAAAGTTTTGATTTTTATTTTTTTTCGAATAAGCAACTTCTATTGGTAATCACAAAAGCAATCACAAGGATACTTCTTGCTGCTTGAGACAAGCTTTGTAGTACTTCTAGAGCTACATGAAATGAAAGCCCATATATGAATACTTGTGCTAGAAAACAGGCCACTGATAAATTAGACTAACGTGGAACTTCGATTTAATTTTAAACCTAGGAATTGCCAATCCCTTGAGTCCTTGTAACAAGTGACAGAAGATAAGCACAAGGAAATCCAACAAAAGAAAATAGAATTTCCCTACAATTAGCATACACTTAATTGAAATTAGGAACTGAGACATTGGACATAGGCATTAGATAGGGAATAACCTAAGATTTCCCAAGCATGGGAGTTGGAGCTTCACGTAAAAGTAAAAGGAAAATGCTGGTCCCTGAGGTACTAAACAATCCAATGAAATAGTCCATAATCCAAAAGATAGAATCTGCTCCAAGCTAAGAGAACTGTTGCTATCTCATTAACAGAAACTCTATGGAAAACTCGCATTCTGTCCAACCAACAGGTGGAAGTGTATAAGTATGATAAAAAATATCTACAATGCAATTTACAATTTCAACCTCATTCCAAACATTGCGGTACATGATATGTGAAATTATTCCTAGTTGGAATTGTTTGGATTTGTGGCCTTTAAAGGCCTTGGCCCTTGTATATACCCCTTGTGAGAGTGTGCTAAGAGATAGGCCTCATGCCTGTGTCTTGATTGACATAAGTTGTCCTTGGGGGAGCACATATAATCCACAAGTAACTTTGTAGTTGATCTACACTTTGGCTAACTTTGATAGGTCAATCAATAGCCCCTACAAAGATATAGATGGGTCAAGGGTCTGTTGGGATAGTTTGAGGGGTAGAGACTAGAGAGTAATTACAAGTTGGGTAGCATAGAGTGCCTAGTTATAAATGGTGCATGATACTGAAAGTGTTTCAATGGCTTTTCCTAGTGTTTTCAAGAGCTTTTTGAGAGTAAATTGGTTTTTATTCTCTCAAAAGAGTAGTTAAAGGGAGAAAGGGCATTTAAAAATAAGTTCTTGTCCTTAGCAAGGATGTTTTAGGAACAAAAATATTTGTTGAATAGCAAAGAAGAACATATATGCGAAAATCATATGAAGCACACGTGGGCTATGTTTTATGGCACACAAGTGGCCATATGGCGGCCAATTGGATGTCAAGGGGGCCCACTGGCCATGAAGTCCCACATGGCAAAGTGTACTAGTCCCAATAGGACTAGGCGGTCCCATGAAGTCCTCCAAACTTAAGTGTGCCACATGTTTCATGTCAAATTTGGATCAAGTGACTAAATTTTAAGGTTAGTTAGAATTGCTCATGAAATCGAATAAAGATTTGGAAAGTTGTCCTTGAAATTCCAATTGATCTAGGAAATATAACAGAGATCATTTTTTGGATACAAAAACAAATCCTACTAGGTGACTGAAAGAGTGAGAATCCAAAAGAGAAGAGGTTTGAATTTTCCATGCCCTTGACTGCTTTTTCATCCCAAAATAAAAGAAAGGAAGAGGACTTTGCCATCAAAGATCGGGGCACCATCAAGTGTGGGGTGTAGGAAGTCATAGGAGATGATCTCAAACAAATTTTCAAGTTAGTATAGTTGCTGATGTATGCGTTCTTTCGAGTCTTGTTTAATGAACATGGCAGCAAGCTTTTCTTAGGGCATTCTCTTGCTCCTTTTTCTTTTTTTCTTGTTTTGAATTTGTGGTTAAAAAGGAGACAACACTTGTAAGGTGGGGTGTGGCAGGCTGTAATAAGAGAAGTACCTAACACTCCCCTGCTAGTGTTACTCACAAGGATGGGTCCAAGTAAGAATCAATGGGCAGCTCTCAATCACATATCAAAATCAAAGTAAAATGTCACTAAAGATAATCTAAAAGACAATTTTTATTTTAGTGAATTAAAACTATGGTCACAATAATGTAATTCATATCAAAGTTACCAGGATCTTTCAATTAAGGTGTTTCTCCCACTCCCGAAATACAGTTCTACAGTTCAAAAGAGGGAACATGTTCGCAAGGCATTCCAATTCTTTTGGGAATATGTTCCATGTCTTCTTGGGAGCTCACTTTTATAACGTTGTTAAGGACGAGCTCCCCTCTCTCCTTTGGTGGGCTCCATTGTTAAGGTATATTCTAAGGTTTAAAGAAGGGGGGAACCACTTCATTGTAGACCAATTTTGAATGAAAACTCATGCATTAAGTCCTTCAATTACTTTTTGAACTTTTATATTTTTAAATATTTATTTATTTTTCAATCATAGTCTAAGAGCTCCCATGGCACTCCCTAACCAGGGAAGACTTGGCAAGCAATGATCCCCTGCACTAGTTCCCACTCCCTCTCCCAACAACTATGACGCATATTCCAATAACATCCCAGTTAATCTACGTGGATGATAGTCAATGCACTCCTAGGATATAATATGCTTGTCCAGTAGATCTAAAGGATAGCTAGAAAGTAGGTTGAACTGCAAGAGTATACACAAAAGTTTCTTGCTCACAACATTCTTTCTTTCAGTAAGTAAGAAGCATTGTTAAATATAATATGTTTTGTTTTTTATGAAGTTAACCAAAAAATATAATAATTACAATCAATATGAGAAAACATCTACAGAGGCATGATATCCTTAATAATAACACATTATCCCTAATCACACCCAAAGTAGCCAGCTTATACTCCACCAAATTACTCTCAGAATAAGAAAAAATACAGATTTGAAAATTACATGAGAGATCCTTAAATTGTTAGGAAGTTTCAGCAATCAAATCACAGAAATTCTTTAATGCATCTAATAACATAAGAATGTCACGCTCAATAATAGCCAAGCCACCAAATTCACAAGACAGCATTCATGCCTCTTCTCGGTCTGTGTAAACTTCCGCTCATCCCAAATCCTTGCTCAAAGGCCACTGTAAGAATTTTAGTATAGATCCATCTGTCTTCCGGACAAACAACCATGATCCATGGCCCCAGAATTCCAAGAGTCCCACAATGTTCATGGGAATACTATCAGTCTATAGAGGCTGCAAAAAATGTATCGTGTCTAATGACATCCATCATATATCCTGACATATGAATTAGTTCAGAAAACCAATTATTCCTCTCTCCACAGCTAAATGGTAGACAGGAAGGAATCCCAGCACTCTGCACTTCTTGCTTCAGCTGCAATCTAATGGAACTAGAAAAATTTGAGGGAATAAACCCAGTCAATATTATTAATTTGAAAAAATACCTTTTGGACTTACCAAAGGTTCTGCCATAATAGACTTCATCTACTTCCCCCTCTTTCAGAATTGCTTCCTTGATCTAGTAACTCAATTCCATCCTATTTAATGGAGCTCCCACCTCATCAATATTCCCAGATGAGCGAGCACTAATGTGCTTCCAAGACTAGAAAATCCCATCAATTTTCCAGATATTTGAGCCACCATTGCTACATATGAAAAAATACCCAAAAGAAATAATATCCAATTGTCCCGATTTTCCTCGGCGTATTCCACCTCTAACCTAGATCATCATCCTTGAGGTAGTATATAGTTAAAGATATTTCCAAAACCTCAGAATCCATGTTAAATTTGCCTCACAAGGAAAATTCACAATTTTCATCAATAGGCACAATAAAAGTACGTTAAGTCTTTAATAAGGATCCCATCAGGCATCTATGGGATGCACACTCCCTATTGAGCCAAAAATTGTTCGTACGGGATTCATCCTAAATGACAAAGAGCTTTGTCGGGTATGGGTTAATGCCAAGTTAAATCACCAACCCATGTAGGACAACATATATTCCATGGATAATTCGCTCTGACCACCACATTTGGTATGATGTAGAATCCAAAAATGTTCTCTCTCACCACAACATTTGGTACAACCACAATGTATAACCCGAAATCCCATACTCAGATGTCAACCATTGGCTAATGATCGATTCTGACTGATAATGTCATCTTAGCACAGAGAAGAGAAATTCTCATTCAATTATGGGAGTATGATTTTTGCACATGTGCCCTCAATCGACCTTAATAACAAACAATGACCAAATGCACTAAATCCTTCAGCTTTAAATCTGAAGATTGGGAATGTCAGAAACATATATCCATATTCAAAGATTCAAGGGCCTAAACTACATTGAGATCTCTGATTTGATCTTCAGAGAATGTACAAAGAAGGAAGAAAGCTAACAAAGGAGTCACCTCACTGTTTGGAATAAAGCAGTGGTATTCTCTATAACACGTCATTCTTGATAATGCACCATAAGCTCAAAAGAAAACAGGTCATAAGAAAGCAGAGATAATTGCTGTAAAACATCCACACAGACTTGTGTGTGCGTGCGCATGCACAAGTGGGTGCAAACACTTCATGGTTTTTGTAAACCTTTCAATCTTATAATAATAATTACGTACCAAAATTTCAAAAAAAAAAATGAGCCAATAAGAAAATAACAAATCATGACTGTACACAAGGAACAAAGTCCCCAAGGCCCATCCTAACCAAACATTAAATAATTGGCATAGCATGAAATGAATCTTAAAGCAAACTCAAAAACTTTAGACTACCTCTTTCTGTTTCTTCAAACCAAACAATTCAGAATCCTCCACAGATCGGTCCCGATCGCGAAACAATCTACGGAAAAAATTCTCAGATCCTGGACTACTTTCAAATGAACCAGAATTATTGGTGACCGGTTTCTCATCTTCTGGATGCACACGGAACAATCTACGAAATGGCAAAAAATCTTCTTCATCATAACTTCCAGTCCCCTTATCTTCATCATCCCCATCTTTCTTTTCATGGTCATCAAATTTATCCTTGAAAAGCCTACGAAAGAAGCCATCCTTTTCATCCTCTTCACCTGCTCGCAATGTTGCTTTATCATCACCATCGCTTCGATCCCGAAAAAGTCTCTTAAAGAATCCCTCAGAACTTGCAGTTAACTCTTCGCTATGTACAGCCCTTTCATCCTCATCCTTACTAACACTAAGAAGTCTTTTAAAAAAGCTATCCTGATCACTTTCCTTTGAAGCATCCTTGGATTTGTCCACATCATCTTCATCTTTCTCAACAGACTTTCTAAAAAATAAAGCATCACGCACTTTTGGTCCTGGCATGAATTTCTTCAAAACTTTCAAAGACGTATCCGATTCATCAGTAGGGTTCTTGTTCTCTTCATGTGGAGAAGGATTATTAGTCGTAGGGCTATGAGATGGCAAAGATATGGACCTCAAAGTGGGAGGAGAAGAAGTTAGAGAAAGCAAACGTTGCTTTGAAGAAAGTATTTTGTTGAGCACACGGTTTTTGCTGCCAGGACTTGAAGGAGGATTTTGTGGCCGAACAAGAGGAGGCCAATCACCCATTAGAGTAGCAGCCATTTGACACTTCTCCTGGATCCTACTAATCCCTTCATTATCATCTGTGTCCTCAAGCTCAGCCATCAAAAACCAATGAACTTTCAAAGCAATTTGAAGAGATTTCGAGCATACATCAATGACAAATTTGTCCAAAGAAGGACTGGGCCTATGCACAAGCATGTAGCAGATCTGAAACAGGTAACTCTCAATTCCTGAGAGTGGCAAAGTATACATCCTATTGCAAAGGTAATCTCGAACACCAGGGTGATCATGCTTGTACAAATAACTGACTGCAATCCACTCACAGAAAAAGGCAGAATCAAAGAAGCGTATGAGCCAACCACTCTCCCCAGTCTCACTTGGAATCCTTGTTATCTCTTTAGGCGACTCATCTGATTCTCCCCTTGTTAACCCAAGAAGCCGCACCATGATCAGTCAATGTGTAGAAGCTTACAACCTTCAAGAATCCCTACCAGGATAGTCTAAAAATGGTAATTCAAAGATACAGGTTGTGCCTGTCTCTAAAACTACAGCCGGCATAGATTCCCATATATCCATTGCTAATACTCACATAATATGCCCAGAGTGCTGAAAACAGAAACAAGGAAAATCAATGAAACTAGAACCCACAAATTAGAGCAACCAAAAAAAAAAAAAACCGTGGATGCTAGAGCCCACTCAATGACACAAGATATTAGGTTTTTTTTTCCCTCTTTTTTCATTGTTTAGACACCTGGTTTGACGTTAAAGCTGAAAACAGACAGGAAAATAAAATAGAAGATAGCATTTACACAGAGCAAACAATGTCATACTTGTTTGAAGTTTCTATAAATATCAGGAAATAAAGCAATAAAGAAATGCAAGTTTGAATACACAAAACAAAGAATCTCCGTAACATTGGCACTGAAAAGGAGTTTAAAGTTGAAATTTAAGAAAAGTATCAGAACTATTACAAAGTCCATAGATTTGGATAACAAATCGTTAGAATAGGCAACATCTAGAAGTTGAAACATCATCCTAAGGATTAATTTTCAATTTTTTGGCATGACTAGACAAACATTTGTGATAATTCAATTTCAAAAACAAACCAACAATTAAGGAAATGCCATGCTAACCAAAAATGGTAGGTGCTGGCCAAATTTATGGACATTTCAATAAACATACATATTGGAGTCCTCCAATTAAGAAAGCAATTTCCACTCCTTTTTCACAATCACAATTCAAAATTAAAAATGGGAAAATGAGAATCCCCAAATTAGTCCCAAAAAATTCTATTAACAAATGGCACAAGATCTCTAAGACTAGGGGATTCTACGCCGTAAATTCTAAACAGAAACTCAGACACAAGAGAGGCTTCTCCAGATCAGATAATTCAAATCAGTTTCTCGAAAAACAATACTAACAATCAATCCAGAAATCCCACCGTCACAAATGAGATGGTAAGACACAATAATCAATGAAAAACTTCAATTTTTCAAAATAAATAGGAAAGGAAAAGAAAAATAAAACTAACATCTTGGGTGTTGAAATTTTCAGGCATGCAAGATTGACAAACCAAAATAAGCAAATAAACAATACTACTGAGAATTGGATCCATCGTACCCGGTTTCTCTCCAAGGAAAACAGGAGAACCTGGAAGAGAGAAAGAGATCAGAAGCCCTAGGGCCGGTGGAGGTGGGTGATGGGGCTGGGGCGGAGGAAACCGAGGAAGGATGGAAGATCGGGACCAGTAGGGCTTTTGAAAATTATTTCTCTGAAGAACTGCAGAATGTTTTTATGCCATTGAGAGGAAGGAAAGAACGAGAGAGGGGGCGGAGGAGGGTGGTGCAATAGAGCGAGAGACAGAGAGAGAGAGAGAGAGAGAGAGAGAGAGAGAGGGCGGATTTTCTCTCTCTACGGGGGAAGTGGCAAAGTAATAAAAGGAAAGGAGTAAATCCCCATTTCAAATTGAAATTAATGATGAAGAGAAATAATAATGAAAGAATAACAGAAGATACTTATTAAATTACTGTTATTATTATTATTATGGGAAAATTACAAAAAAAAAACCCCGAGTGTACACTGCAATTTATCTCCTACGGAATTTGTTCTCTCATTTTTTACCTAAAAATATATTTTCCTAGCAAATAACCCTTAACTCAAATACAAAAAGATTAAACTACCCTAACACTTTTACCCGCGCCATCTTTCCCTCGTTCGGTCAAAACTGCGGTCCGGCAATCAAAACAAGCGGTCCAACACTTTTTGTTTACGTCAAAACTACGATCTAGCAGAACAGACATATAGTCCAGCACTTTTGTTCAGGTCAAAATTGCAGTCTGGCAAATTGAATAAGCGGTTTGGCACTATTGTTTCTGGACAAAAGAGCGGTCCGACAGAACATCCACGCGCTTCGACACTTTTTTTTTCTAGACAAAAGTGCGGTCTGGCAAATTGAACAAGAGGTCGGGCACATTTTCCTGGACACAATGTGTTCCGCTAGAGAATGAATGTGATCCGATATTATTTTTAGTTTAATGAGATTCGGCAATGGGTTCTTGGCAGTCCAGCAGCCCATGTGGGTTTTGGTACTGTATGTATGCTCACGTGAATGTCCAGCCAAAATTAATTTTTTTTACGAAAAGAGATATTTTCGTCAAAAAATGTCTTTTTGTACTTAGGGGTATTTGCTAAAAAAGTATATTTTGAAGAAAAAAATAAGAGAAAAACTTGGGTTAGGAATAAATTGCATAGAAAGTCTATTATTGAGAGTTTATTTGTAATTTTCTCTATTATTTTTTTAGATGGGAATTCGGACTAAATGGACAAACAAACACAAATAACAGTTGGGGTGGAATGGACCTGGGTGGAGTTCAAAACTCAAATGCCTCTCAAGAGAAAAACAAGAATTAGGTCATGGTGGTCCAGTTGGACCACAGAAGGCCCTAATTAATCGCCTGCGACCGGAGTCAAATCCGATCGAGATGTAGATACTTTTGAATTTGATTCGCGGAACTTCTGAATGGCCATTACTCTACTGTTTCTATTTTATTATTAGCTTTCGCCCAACATGGCTCGTGAATCTTCCAAGTTATAGATAGGGGCAACTGAAATTCTTTGGCAATTCAGAACCCTATTTTAATTTTTAAATCATAAGGTTGGACGAACCTTAAAAGCACATTTGATGTCCGGTTTTTGTGGGACTGGGATGCCCTCTCCTACAAAATATGGAAGATGCCTCTCCTATTTATTTTGATGGAAAGGGCAGCTTCCAAAACCGCAAGATTTTTGACGTTAAAAAATGTTATTTGGAATGCCGCACTTCCATTATACGGCTTTTATGTTCAACTCCCCCTTTTCAAAAACTCTAAGTTATCAAACACGCCCTAAAGAAAATAAAAATGAACGTGATACATATAAAAAGGAAATGCTTTGATAAGCTGCCATCTCAAATGGACAAAAATGAAACGGTTTAGTTCAAAAAGATTAGGCTGGATAAGCGAGGGTCCATCTGAAGAAGCATGGAAGGAGAAATAAGAGGGAGCATTGAGATGGTGTAGAAGAATAGATGGGCAAAGGTAGGGGGGCTTTCTAGTGTCACTGTCCGTTTATTGTTTTTGACTCTCGGGTGAATTTGAAGTTAAGAAATGGAGTATATGGAATTTGGAATTGAGTTAGGTGGGCGGGTTGCCTTCGTGAGAAGTGTGTTGGAGGAGAGAGAGAGAAAGGGTATTAATGGGTAGGGTCGGGCTCGGATCAAATCCAAGTTGCGCACACACATATATAGGGCAGTGATTTCATGCAACGATTGTATACTAATATAATGCAATAATAGTAAAAAATCATGTTAGGGCTATTTGTTTGATCTAAATTTTGAAATATACATTATTTTCATTCTAATGAACAAGCAAAATTTTGGGTCATACAAATATATATATGGAAAAGTCTTCCCAACGCCTATAGGCGACAGGGAATAATGATTTTGCCTCTCTATTATCCATCATCTGTTTTAATTTAATGAAATGTAGGGTTGTGATCAAACAAAACCCTCACCTAGGTACAAAACATAATTGGCCCAAAAGCTTTAAACCCAAATTTATTTCAACCCATACCCCTCTCTTCCCGCACTCTCTGCTAAACGCGAATAAAGTTATCTGTGAAGCTCCCCTCTGTCTCGCTCACTCTCTTCTCTCCCAATGGCTATGCTCTACCTCCACTCTCTCTCTAAATTTTCGGAAACTCTGCCTCCTCATTCACGGTGTGGCTGCTCTAGTCTACTTGTTGTGGGCATCTCAAGGTCGTGCTACTTTACCACTAACTGAGAATCATTGTGAGGAAAACTCATCTCATTATTTAGGATTAGGGCATCGAAATTGGTGAGTAACAAAAAAATTGTTTGATTTATAGTATGTAAATTGCCAAAAAATTCCTAACTTTGATTTGGAAATTTTATTTTATGAGTAAAACAAAAAAAATCCTTGCAGAAATTTCAGTTCATTTTCCCTAAGCTTATAGGGTTCTTTTTATATAAATCAATAAATAAATTTGTAAATAAAAAACTATGACCAAATCGCACACCAAAATGGACAAAGACGATAATAACCACAAAAAGGATTCTCATATCACTTATTTTCTATTACTTATTTTCCCCCTAATATTTGAATTTCTATGTTGTTGAAATGTTTGGTTTATAGTCTATAAATTACCATAAAAATCCTAACTTTGAGTTCAAAATTTTATTTTTTGAGTAAAACAAAAAAATATCCCTGCTGAAATTTCAATTCATATATGTTTTTTTTTGTAAAAGATCTGCATTAAGAAGAAGAATGAAAAGCAGAGATAGATTATTGCGAAGTTTGTAAAAGAACATAATCATATTCTCACAACGCCCAGCAAGACTAGATTCATTCGCTCTCATCAAAAGATACCAAACACAATGAAAATGTGATTTGACACATTGGAGTCTTCTATGACTAAGTCTAGGTTTTGATGGATTATCTTATCGAAGAGTGTGGTGGGGAAGAAAATATCCCTTTCTTTAAGAAAGACCTTGAGAATCTTATAACTAAAAAAAAACAACAACTAAAAGGGAAAAGAGGGTATTGTTGTTATGAGTTGGTTGCATGCAAAAAAAGAATTGAACCCTTCCTTCTTTTATAGATTTTGATTTGAAGAGGGGGGAGACTGATTAGTGTTATATGTATTGATGCAAAGTCTATAGTATTATATCAATTTTTTAGTGATGTGATAACCTTTGACACCACGTACCAAACGAATGAATTCAGTATGCCCTTTGGCCCATTCTTTGGAGTTAATCATCACGCTAACACAATTTTCCTCAGATGTGGTCTCATCTTTAATGAGATTACAAAAACCTTCATTTGGTTATTTGAAATTGGCTAGAGGCAATGGGAGGCCACCAACCAGGTTCAATTATCACTTATCAGGCTTTAGCTATAATGGTTGTACTTAAGACAGTTTTCATTAATATTAATCATCACTATTGTAAGTGGCACATCATGGGAAAGTTGAAAACACATCTAAGCCATGTTAAGCATGCACACCCATTATTCGTAGAGGTATTCAAGAATTGTATTGCAGCCTACACAGTTAAGCAGGTGACGCTGATTGGTTAGCTATGATTCAGAAATATGACCTTCAATAGGAAAGTTGGCTCAAGTAGTTATATGGTTGTCGCACTCAATGGGTTGAAGCATACATAGATAATAGTTTCATGGCTGGCATGAAAACCACACAGCGAAGTGAATGGTTCAATTGTCATAAAGATGTATGTCACTTTTGGAACAAGTTTGACAAAATTCATGAATGTTAATGAAAAGTTTCAAAACAAGAAGTTCATCGAAGAAAACGAGAAAGATAGTAAAGATCTTACATCCACACATGTTCTAAAGACTGCCTTTCTTATCGAGGAGCATGCAACAAATATATACACTCAGAAATTTTTTGGAAAGTTCAAAGAAGAGGTGGCAAGGTCCTCAATTACCTTTGCAAATTAATTGAAGGTAATGATGAATTTGTCAAATATAAAATGGAAGACATTCGTAGGGTGCCTGTCTCTCAGACGATTACATTCATTGAATTAGGGATGAAATGTATATGCACATGTCAATTCTTTGAGCGTGTTGGAATATCTTGTTCACATATGCTTAAAGTGTTCAACATGAGAAATGTATTGAAGATCCCATCTAACTATATTTTGAGCTAGTGGACAATGGATGTAAAAAATAGGGTCAAAGACAAATGTGGTGGAAGTAATTCGACTTCGTCTAAATTTTCAAAGTTCACTCAACATCATGAGCTCTATGACATTGTGAGAACAATTGTAAAACCAGCATTAAAAGTGATGATCTATTTAAAAAAGTGAAGTTGGTAGCTAAGGATGTCAATTTAACAAGAAAGCATTTGTCGAATATTCTTGCACCATCACCCTCCACTCATTGCAGTGGCGCTGAAGATGAAGTATGTGGCAGCATTAGATCAGTTGATGCCTACCCCCTTGTACTTGATACACCATGTGCACGAGCAGCTGGACGACCAAGGACTAAAGGGATAAAACCTTCATGGGAGAAAGAGCAAAAAGCTTCTACGCAAAAAACAAAGTTGGAGGAAAGGCCACCCACTGAAAGGAAGTGTAAAGTTTGCAATGAGAGTGGGCATGACAGGCGTAATTGTCCGGTGAGAACAAGTGGGATATAAGTGCTTGTTTGCTTTATGTTTTGGACATAATAAGCATAATTGTCTTTATTTAGTTTTAGTTTTCATTTGTCTTCTGTTTTATGTATTGGACTGCCAATACATCATTCTCTTAAAGAGCCAATGAGGACCTCGAATCGAGTTGAGGCCATGACAAACGAAAGGGCTACAGTTGCACGGAGGATAAGACAAATTACGAGACTGC